TGTGGTCGCCAGGTTACAGGCCTCACTAGGCCTTCCTGGTTATGAGCTCCCACACATTGTGGTCGCTACGTTACAGGCCTCAAAGGGGCCTTCCTGGTTATAGTTCCCACATACTGTGGTTGCCGGGTTACAGGCCTCACCAGGCCTTCCTGGTTATGAGCTCCCACTTATTGTGGTTGCCAGGTTACAGGCCTCACCAGGCCTTCCTAGTTATGAGCTCCCGCATGCTGTGGTCGCTGGGTTACAGGCTTCACCAGGCCTTCCTGGTTATGAGCTCCCACATACTGTGGTCACCAGGATACGAGCTCTCACATACTGTGGTCACCAGGTTAAAGGCCTCACCAGACCTTCCTGGTTATGAGCTCCCACACATTGTGGTTGCTAGGTTACAGGCCTCAAAGGGGCCTTACTGGTTATGAGTTCCCACATTCTGTGGTAGTCCGTTTACAGGCCTCACCCAGCCTTCCTGAATGTGGGCTCCCACATGCTGCGGTAGCCAGACTACAGCCTCACCACCTTTCCTGAGCACTTTGCTCCCACTCTGTGGTCACCAGGCTTCAGGCTTCATTGGCCTTCCTGGTTGTGAGTTGTCACATGTCAGGTTGCAGGCTTCACCAGGCGTTCCTGAATCTGAAACCCCCACTTTTCGTGGTCGCTAAGTTGTAGTGGTGAGTCTTCACATGTCAGGCTGCAGGCTTCAGCGGCCTTCCTGAATGCGAGCTCCCCATGCATTGGGACTATCGGGTGTTAGGCCTTGTCAGGCCTTCCTGATTATGGGTTCCCACTTGTTGTGGCTGCCAGGTTACAGGCCTCAAGTTCGGCCTTCCTGAATTCAGAGTGAAGTACACAAACTCATACTTCACCTATTATTGTGGTAAATCACATGACGGGATGTCTTGTGTACTTTCTAAAATCCATTTCCTATGGTAAGGGTCACGCGCAGTATGCTTCGGTCCCTTCTTATGTGGCTCAGACCCCGGTCTTCCCTTGGGTCCCACTTTAAGAGGCGTCCTGTCACTTAAGTAGGCTACAGGGACACCCTTCTCTGGCTAACTTCTGTAAGAAGTAGCTTGCACTTGGTGGAGTAAGCTCCCACAGGTTGTGGTCACCAGGCTGGGTCTCACTGACCTTCCTGAGTACGAGCTCCCACCCAATGTGGTCGCCAGTTTACAGGCCTTACCAGGCCTTCCTGGTCTTGAGCTCCCACACACTGTGGTCGCCAGGTTACAGGCCTCAACAGGCCTTCCTGGTTATGAGCTCCCACATATTGTGGTTGCTGGGTTACAGGCCTCACCAGGCCTTCCTGATTTCAGAGTGAAGTACACAAACCCATACTTCACCTATTATTGTGGTAAGTCACCCGACGAGATGTCTTGTGCACTTTTTAAAATCCATTTCTTATGGTGAGGGTCACGCACGGTATGCTTCGGTCCCTTCTTATGTGGCTCAGACCCCGGTCTTCCTCGGGTCCCACTTTAAGAGTTCTTAAGAGCTAACTTCTGGAAGTAGCTCCCACTTGGTGTGGTTTTTCAGGTACGCCAGGCTGGGTCTCACTGACCTTCCTGAGTACGAGCTCCCACCGGATGTGGTCGCCAGGTTACAGGCCTTACCAGGCCTTCCTGGTCACGAGCTCTCACACACTGTGGTCGCCAGGTTACAGGCCTCACTAGGCCTTCCTGGTTATGAGCTCTCACATACTGTGGTCGCCAGGTTATGAGCTCCCGCATACTGTGGTCGCCAGGTTACAGGCCTTACGAGGCCTTCCTGGCCATGAGCTCCCACACACTGTGGTCGCCAGGTTACAGGCCTCAACAGGCCTTCCTGAATTCAGAGTGAAGTACACAAACCCATACTTCACCTATTATTGTGGTAAGTCACCCGACAAGATGTCTTGTGCACTTTTTAAAATCCATTTCTTATGGTGAGGGTCACGCGCGGTATGCTTCGGTCCCTTCTTATGTGGTTCAGACTCCGGTTCTTCACTTTGGGTCCCACTCTAGATGTGTCTTTGTCGCAATACATTACGACAGGCACTTCCCTTGTTCAAGCTATCTCCCACAACTGGTGGTTTTAGGTCTCATTAGACCTTTTTCGAGGTAGCCCCACATTGTGGGTCTGTCAGGTTTCTAGCCTCTGGCTTTCCTGAAGGATGAGCTTCCACATGCTGTGGTCGTTGGGTTTCAGGCCGCACAATGTACGACCTTCCTGACATGAGCCCTCATGTTTCAGAGCTCCCCACACAGGGGGTCATCAGGTCTTAGGTCTCATTGACCTTCCTGATTTTGATCCCTCTCTTACTTACTCAGTGCTCAAAAGCGAGCACTGGGTGGAAACTCGTGGATTGAGTGTACGATTCCCGTTGTTTTGAGGTTGAGTCACACTCTCCGGAGGATCCCGTCTCTGTGATCCGAAACTCGATGGTTTCTGCCAGCTTCGCGGGCCTTCAGTTTTTGGATGCCTTTCCTATGCAATTTCCAGAGACTCTGTCTTGGACGGACAGGCTATGGCCAGACTGTGTGTCTTAGTACAGATCACCAGGCCAGCCTGGGGGCATTTCAGGAGGACCCCTTCTATTTTGAAGTTGTGCTCCTAAAGCCTTTGAGCTGGCCCCGATTTACCCACGTTATTACGTTCTGGTTTTTCTTGGTTCATTAGCTTGGGCTATGACCGGTAGGGAGTGCTGTCACTGACAGCCCGATGTAACATAGGGTGAGTGGTTTCAGTGTTCCTTGGAATTACTGGTTCTGACAGTTGTCACTGCCTTTTCGGCATGCACTCCCCTCAGCATGGCGGAGTGGGTATTTCGTTCCCCATTGCGTCATTCGACGTATTGTTGAGTTCCCTTCGAAAGGGAACGTCTCAGGTTACAACTGTAACCTATGTTCCCTGAGAACAGGGAACGAGACAATACGTCTTGGTGCCATGCCTCGGGGCCTGCCTGCAACAGTCCCTTCAGACGATAGGATGTTGTCACGGTTTCAATGCGCCCTTCTTATACATCCAGATTGATGCGCTCATCATTCAAGCTGATGATGCACGGGCTGTCGCCGGTCAACCTGATTACTGTGAGTTGATATTTGATTTCAGACACCTGTCACGCCTGAGGCGTTCCCCATTGCGTCATTCGACGTATTGTCTCGTGCCCTGTTCTCAGGGAACATAGGTTACAGTTGTAACCTGAGATGTTTTTGACTTTCATTTATATTTTGATTTTATACATACATTTTTATGTATATATACACTACCGGTCAAAAGTTTTAGATCATTTAATGTTTTTATAAGAAGCATCTTCTGCTCACCAAGGCTGCATTTATTTTTTTAAAAACAAACAAACACAGTAACATTGTGAAATATTATGACAATTTAAAATGACTGTTTTCTATTTGAATATATTTAAAATGTAATTTATTCCTGTGATCAAAGCTGAATTTTCATCATCATTACTCCAGTCTTCTTTGTCACATGATCCTGCTGAAATCATTCTAATATGCTGATTTTATGCTCAAGAAACATTCATTATTACTTTCAATGTTGAAAACAGTTGTGCAAATTTTTTTTTCAAAATTCTTTGATGAATATAAAGTTCAAAGAACAGCATTTTTTTAAAATATAATATTTTCTAACATTATAAATGTCTTTACTGTAACTTTTTGATCAATGTAACTCATCCTTGATGAATAGAAGTATTGATTTCTTGTTTTTCCCCCAAAAAATAAAAATAAAAATTCTTACTGACCCCAAACTTTTGAATGGTAGTGATTAATGTTACAAAAGCTTTCCATTTCAGAAAAATGCTGTTCTTTTGAACGTTCTATTCATCAAAGAATCCTGAAATAAGAATGTAAAAAACTGTTTTCAACATTGATAATAACAATATTAGAGTGATTTCTCAAGGATCATGCGTCACTGAAGACTGGAGTATTAATGATGATAAATTCAGCTTTGATCACAGGAATAAATTACACTTTAAGATATATTCACATAGAAAACCGCTGTTTTAAATTATAGTAATATTTCACAATATTAATGTGGTTTTTTTTTGTATTTTTAATCATATAATTGCTGCCTTAGGGAGCAGAAGAGACTTCTTTTAAAAACATTAAAAAATCTTACCGATCTAAAACTTTTGACCGGTAGTGTGTGTGTGTGTGTGTGTGTGTGTGTGTGTGTGTATATATATATATATATATATATATATACATATATATATGTATGTATGTATGTTGTCCTTTCAATTTTTTCTTGTCCGACTCACCTGAATGAAAGGCTCATTATTATGCGTGTCTTTGTCTCTCTCAGGTGAGAATCACCTAATTATACATGATAATACTCAGGGCTGGTCTGTTCATGCCCATTCGCATATTGCCTTGGCAAACAAAAAATGTTTTTTACAATAAAACCCAATTCACAGTTTTATGTGAACGATTAGGAGGATGATTTTCAGATCATTGTGAAGAAAAAACTCTAGGCAACAACATCCATTAGTCAAAAGTAATGTGGACGCATATTTCGTATGTGTTTTGTGGCCTTATTTTTATTTTTTTCAATAACCACGCATAAACATTATTCTCTCAAAAATACAAACATGTACATACATGTTGCTCACATATTATGGTAGCCCTGTTTGTGCTAAATATGGTGTATTTTCACCTGTGCCATTAATATGTTAATAAGCAACTGAAAAAACAAACAAATGTCAGGGCATGTCAGAACATCTCAAGGACCCCAAAAACACATTGGACCCCAGAGGGTTAGGAAAGACAACACTGGCAAGAACCTAAACTCCGTCAGGTGACACAAAATGAAGAAATTTGTCACTGAATAAAACACTATTGTAGAGGAAATAGTAGTTTTTGAAGATAAATGTTAGTTTAACTCGGCCTCTTTGCTGTACATGCTGTTGATGTAAAAAATAAAAAACGGAAAATGTAAGTAATATTATTATATAGAAAATGTATTGTATGTGTTCCATCTAATTCTGTGTTGTGACTTTATTGTAGGTTAAATGATTGTAACTTAACAGACAAAAGCTGTTCAGCTCTGGCTGCAGTTCTTGGATCAGAGACCAATCTGAAAGAGCTGAACATGAACAATAATAATCTGAAGGATTCAGGAGTGAAGCTGATCTGCACTGGACTGAAGAATATAAAGTGTAAATTGGAGATACTAAGGTAAGTTGAGCCACAGAAGTCACATGACTAGAGTGAGGTGCAGGTGTGCTCCAATCAGGATTTTTGGGGCCGATCACTAATCCCCGATTCCTTGAAGCTGGATCATCAGATACCGATCACCTATTACAGGGTTTATTTGAAGACTTCTATTTATCATGTAGCATTACTTATTAAAGTATATTTAACAACAATACCTGTGTATGTATTTGCAAGCAACATGTCCAGCATATTAACCTCTTAAACATTGCCAGAGTGCCGGCGAACTGAAGCGTTTTTTTCAAAATAGTTAAAAGTTACCATCATATTTGATGTTATTTTCTTGACAAACTATACATCATTAAAAAGATATAAGATAAGATATGTCTTATAGACGCGTCTTATATGTCTTATACTGCGCATGTGCATTAATCTGGCCCAAACTTAACTTCCGGCAGACTTGCGAAGACAATCCATAACAAGTAAATAACCTTAGTAGCTGGTATTTCTTGCCAGTCAGAGAAAATAAATGTTACCTGGCCAAACTGAAATGTGACACTACCAGACCCTTTGAACAAAAATTGGAGACAAGATGTTTTTCTACCGACGTGTCTGATTTACCGCAGTGTTAAAAAACTGTGGCGAGCGCGACGGCGGGGTTTGATAAGGTTAACATAGCTCTCCTTATTAGCTAGGCTTCTTACATGCTTGCTAACCTTTTTTAAGGTGGGTCTCCACATTGACAGCATGTTGGATGGATCTGTGCAGCGCTGTTTATGATACTAACCATTCAATACACAGACTGGTCCGCTGTCAATGTGTTTGCGAGCGAGAGAGAGAGAGCGTGCGAATATGCGCTGCACGCAACTCTGCAGTCAATTACAACTTTTCCCATCTTAAATTGTCAAAAACACCGAAATCAATATGTGGCGGTCAGAGCTGATAATGTGGTGGGCTGCCACTAATAAATGTATGGGAAACACTATACCGGTTATCACTAAACATAGCTAGGCTATTTTAATACCACCATCTCCCTCATAGAAAACCTTGAGTCCTTGAAAATTTTATTTTTAAAAATTGCAGGTTGCACCCCACAGCTCAACAACCTACTCATCACCTTAACTTTCATTGCATTTGTAGTCAATGCCATATTATCCAGTAAACACTAATAAACGAACAGAACGGAAGTTAACTTTGGGCCAGCTCATCACCATGGCAACGCGTCTGATGAAAGCGTCTATATGATATAAGATAATGAGCGACACCTGCACGACTCACCGGTCTCGTATCTCTCACGTCCCTCTGCCTCGTCCTGCTCGCCATAATTATATTTGTACAAACATTTTCACCTTAGTATTTTGTGATGTGGTGAAATAAAGATGAAGATCTTTCTTCCTCTGTCTGTTTTATTTGCTGATGAAGATGATGTAACTTTACAGAATAAAGAGTCTCTTATTTTCTTCATTCTCTCTCTCTCTGCTAATGTAGGTTAAGATGCTGTTATATGACAGATGAAGGTTGTTCTGATGTGACTTCAGCTCTGAAATCAAACCCGGCACACCTGAGAGAGCTGGACCTGAGCAGGAATAAACTAGGAGACTCTGGAGTGAAAAACCTCAGCGATCTACTGATGAACCCACAATTCAAGCTGGAGAAACTACAGTTAGTGTCATTATACTGTACAGCAATTATAGTGTGACTGAAGTTTATTTATTTGAAGACAGCAGGGCTTATGTTTCATTGGTTATAGCAGTGCACTTTCTGGGTTTCCCTGTTGCTCACATTTTTATGTGTTTTAATCTAGTTTGTAGAGAGTAGATAGTAATAGTTTAATTCCCAACAAATGATACAATGTACTGATTGTGTACACACAGAAATCTGTCTTTTCAGCAGAGAATAAAGAAGAGAGACATCTTTTTAAAAATGAAAGAGAAGAAACAGTGTCTTCCAGCGCACAGAACTAGTGTGACTGGGTTTTAAAACAGACTATTGGAAACTAAATGCTGCTGTAGCTATTCAATAAGATGATCATCATAGATGTGAACTATTGTTATTTCTCTGTCTTCAGTCTGAGTTATTGCAGTATTACAGAGAAACAGAGTCTCATCCTGACTTCAGCTCTGAAATCAAACCCGTCACACCTGAGAGAGCTGAACCTGAGCGAGAATAATCTAGGAGACTCAGGAGTGAAGCACTTATGTGCCGTACTGAAGGATTCACACTGTAAACTGGAGAGATTGAGGTCAGTCACATTCACATACAAGAATCAAAATGCTTAAAATCACTTCAACTGTTTAAACTAGAACACATTAACATTATTGTGGTGAGCAGGACGAGGACGAGGGTGAGGGGTCGTGATTGATAATGAGTGACACCTGCGCGACTCACCGGACTCGTATTTCTCACGCGCGACTCACCGGTCTCGTATCTCTCTGCCTCGTCCTGCTCGCCACAATTATATTTGTTTAAACATTTTCACCTTAGTATTTTGTGATCTGGTAAATTAAGATGAAGATCTCTCTTCCTCTGTTTTATTTGCTGATGAAAATGATGTGACTTTACAGAATAAAGAATCTCTTATTTTCTTCATTCTCTCTCTCTCTCTCTCTCTCTCTCTCTCTCTCTCTCTCTCTGCTAATGTAGGTTAATATACTGTGATATGACAAATGAAGGTTGTTCTGATGTGACTTCAGCTCTGAAATCAAACCCGTCACACCTGAGAGAGCTGGACCTGAGCAGCAATAAACTAGGAGACTCTGGAGTGAAAAACCTCAGTGATCTACTGATGAACCCACAATTCAAGCTGGAGAAACTACAGTTAGTGTCATTATACTGTACAGCAATTATAGTGTCATACCTGCCAACTAGGGGTAGCACGGTTCACAAAACCCACGGTTCGGTTTGTATCACGGTTTTAGGGTCACGGTTTTCGGTTCTTGTTATTTTTTCTTTTAATCTTTAACACTCCAGAAATGTACTTCAGCATGTGATATATAGCTTAATTATCCACACTTTAGGATACAGTATTAAAAATATATATATTATATTCATGCAATCATGCACAAACTGAATTTGACTCTTTGACTTTAAGCACATTTTGGGACTATCTCAGAGGAAAGCTAGGTGAGATTTAGATACAGCAAGAGAGAAGAAATTGACATGCTTTTTGTTTATTTGGCAAAAAAAGGAGAATGTGTATCACTATCATACAAGAACTTGTGCATTTTTATCACATAAATCTTATTTACACAAAGAAATTAACTTTCATGTATCAACTGCTAACTTTTGTAGCTCTTACCAAAATTCTATCTTTTAAAAGAAAAAGAGAGCAACTCTTAAAACACTGTCTTTTAAATGTCAATATACATGAAACCTCATTGCATATAGATAATTAAGCTATAGCAATAGCAAAGGCCATAAACATAAAGTGAAATTTAAGTTCAACCTCAACACAAAAACAGTATCAACAATGCTTCTATTCCCAAAATGTGAGGGTACTTTTTTCCACTTAAAATTAAAGTGCAGGGTTTGGAAACGTATGACTGAAGCTCTTATCTATACATAAAGTGCCACTGTAGTTAAATTAAAATATCATAACATGAAATCCAAAATGTTCCCACACACCGGACTTATACCATAGACTTATACGACGCTGGCGCGTCCTCCAACTCCCTCATCTCTCCCACTTGCCATTTCTCCGCGTGCCGTGACCTGCAGCGCTCCATACTCCACTTTTACTGGCTTGTTTATTAACTTGAACCGGCGCTGCACAGAGCGATCGGTAATGACATCAAATACCTCGAAAGTGATGAATGCATACGGAGCCGACTCGCGCTAGATTGATGTTATTCACCGATCGCTCTGTGCAGCGCCGGTCCAAGTCGAACAAGTTTATGTCGCGCGAAAAGAAAACACGTCACATACGGGCACGAGGTTACATTGCGCATGCGTCGAACCGTGAGACGCACACGCGCTCCGAACCGAGACAAGCGAACCGAACGGTTCGGGTGTTTTTTCATGTACCGTGCCACCCCTACTGCCAACATGTACACATTTTGCATAGTGGGCACGCATTTTGACCTCAAAGTACACTCGTACGATTTGTCACTCTAAACTGCGCAAAAACCTGGTGACACCAGAGCCCGTCTAACGGAGAGCCTTGGCACTTCCTATTAGCCCTGTTGTGTATTATCTTGGTTGCAGTTCCATTAGAATTCCACTGGAGGTGATCGCGGGCGAGAGCAGAATGAATGGGAGTCTATGGGGCTAAACGGCTAAATATGTCTCTTTCACCTGCTTGTTGTTAAATCAAAATAGATTTTATTGTTGATTCCGCAAGTTCAATATAGATTATAGGCCAAAAGTCGAATGAACAAGTACATATGTCCTTTTGATTTCTTACAGGTTAGGCTGTTGTTGGCCGGAACACGCTAGCATTCTGCTATTGTTTGACGTCATCACATTTTTGAACGGATTTTTTGAACAGATAAGTGAACTTAAAAATGCAAATTTCAGCTGAGTGTATTTTCTTAGCCCTCCCTTTTGAATACAACTTTCAAATTACTTGACAAAAAATTACATCCTGAGAAAAGTGGATTTCTGGGGGTGAAACCCCATTGACTCCCATTCATTCTGCACTCGACCGCGAGCGACCCTGCATGGACAGAGACGTGTTACTGCAGCCAGTCCAGAACCTGGAAGTAACCAGCCAGTGCCAATTCTCTTCAATTAGACATTCTCTGGTGACGCCTATTTGCACGCGCAGTCCTCAAATAAAGCAACAGCAAGAGAAGAAGAGTTCAACCAATCATAACGCTGGGTTCATTCCCCAAATTGCAAGCGGAGATGATTGACAGATGCGTAAGTCCTATAGTTAAAAAGAGACTGAAAATCGACACCAATAAAGAATCCCACTCGATCCCGCTTCCACTCGCACGCTCCCCGGGTCTGACTGATTTAAGCGAGGACAGTAGGCCTACAGTAGTCACGGTACTTCTCCTGAAGGTAAACGGGCTCAGGTGGATGTGGAAAGTTGAAATATTGAATTTGAGTTCATTTAAAATTGATTGGTTAATTTATCACACGGGACGCGATCACAAGGATTATTTAAAAAATACTCCGTAACGTTAATTCATTCATGGTAACTCAGAAGAAGAAGAAGACATTTAGCCATGCAAATTATAAAATGCTCAAATGTTGAACAATAAATCTAAATAAAATTGAAATCTCTATGTCTTATAGTGATTATGAAAGTGCTGTGTTTTGTGGATGACTGGTAAAGTAAAACGCGAATCTGGAAAACAGGCGTTTATTTTTTTCATTCTCAGTGTTGAGAAACATAGCCTGCCTCTGCATGTGTTACGTTATTATGTTAATAACCAATGTACAGAATTATGTTACGTATTTATTTTGAATGAAAACTAGAGTTAGTTGGCGTACTAATGGATTAAAAACGACCGTTGCATGATCTCATGTATCAGTGCTGCACGAGCTCTCTCACAAACACAGACTCGCGCACAAAGAGAGAGGAGATATTTATAAAATAAAAATTGACAGGCAAAGTTCTTGCTTGTGTTTTATTTGTCAAAATGTCAAAGCTTTTTGTTTTGCCTATTCGTGTTTTTACAATTCGTTAAGCGACGGACGCTTTACTGTTAACATGCAGCCCTCATTATGTCGGATCTTCGTCTTATTCGAACAATTATATTATTGTTCCTGTGACCGGACTCCTGTCTATTCATTGTTAACTGTTTTCTATAAATTTATTTGGATTGGCTCAAGTTTTTTCAGCTAATGCGTGTCCTGTTTATAATGTGTAGCCTAATGTTCAAATGCAAAGAAAGCACAAATATAAGCCCTTTTCCCTGTAGGATTTAATATCATATTTGGATATTGGAATAATCAATTAAGTAGCCAATTTAAAATAAATAACATGTACATGTCACAGTCCTCCGTCTGCACCAGTCTGTCTTGTCTTCAGCACTACACTTCCCATGATCCTCTCGTCTGCACACCTGAACTCACTCCCTCATCAGCCTCCCGTTCAGCGTCCTGTTCATCTGTTTCACCTGTTTTCACCCCATTATGTTTGATTCTTCTGTGTATTTAGTTCCCTCAGTTTTACTCTCTTTGTCGGTCGTTGTCTATTGATGTTTATTGTGAACCCGTGTGGTGCCCGTGTTCCTGTCTGCCTGCCTGTTTATATATATTAAAAACCTGTTCTTCCCGATACTCCGGTCTCCTCGTTCCTCTGCCAGAGCCACACCGTGACAGATCGACCGACCACAAAAGAAAAGGAGATGGACCTCGTTGCTGCAGTCAATCTGCTCTGCTTAGAGCAGGGGAACCGCTCACTCGAGGACCACTTGGCGGATTTCCTCTCCCTCGTCCCAGCCACATCTTTCCCGGACGACAGCCTCTGCAGCTTCCTATATGCTGGCCTCAACACCACCACCAGAGAGCTGTTGTCCGGGGAGGGTCCTCTGTGGAACTTTGCTGCCTATGTGGAGTGGGTGCTGGTGTCATGTGGATCTTCCTTCACCGTTGACGACGGCACCAGCCCCACTCCAACGCCCGAGATCTCCTCATCGCTGGTTCCGCCCAGCTCCGTCCAGCCCGAGCTTTCCTCATCGCTGGTTCCGCCCAGCCCCATCCGGCCAGAGACCGTCCAGACCGTCCAGCCAGAGAACGTCCAGACCGTCCAGACCGTCCAGCCAGAGACCGTCCAGACCGTCCAGTCAGAGACCGTGCAGCTTGAGACCGTCCAGCCAGAGACCATCCAGACCGTCCGGCCAGAGCCCGGCCAGAGCGTCCAGCCAGAGCCCGAGTCCGTCCAGCCAGAGCCCGAGTCCGTCCAGCCAGAGCCCGAGACCGTCCAGCCAGAACCCGAGACCGTCCAGCCAGAACCCGAGACCGTCCAGCCAGAGCCCGAGACCAGGATCCCACCCAGCCTCCCTCTCCCACATCCTCCCGTCATGCAGCCGTCAGCCCTTCCGTCTGCCAGCTCCCCTGACCCAGCCTGGTCGTGGGATCCCCGGTTTTCGCCTCCCAACTCCTCCACATGGACACTTCCTCAGCCCCCGGTCCCATTGGCTCCCCCGTGGCTCATACCTCCCTCAGCTCCTCCATGGTCCCTCAGTCCACCAGCTCGGCCAGGCTCCCTCTGTCCTACGGATTCCCTTCACTCCCTCGTCATCCTCCCCTCACCAATGGACTTCCTTCCTCTGGCTCCGCCCCGTTATGTCACCCCTCCGGTTCAGTTGGACTCCTCACTCCCTCCAGTCATCCGTCAGCCCTCACTCCCTCTGCCCTCACCCTGTCCCTCTGTGCCCCTGTCGTTACCTTGGTCACCTGAGCCTGTGTTATCACCATGGTCCCTTGGTCCCTCGTCAGCACCTTGTCTCGTCAGTCGCTCAGCTTCACCCTGGTCTCCTCTCTCACTTGCTCCGCCCCTGTCAGTCGGCCCCCTGGTGTTGTCAGCCCCGTCTCCTTCAGCTCCACCAGGAGTCCTCCCTCCATCTGCTCCGCCCTGGTCTCGCCCTCAGTCTGCTCCGCCCTGGTCTCGCCCTCAGCCTGCTCCGCCCTGGCCATGCCCTCAGCCTGCTCCGCCCTGGCCACGCCCTCAGACTGCGCCGCCCTGGCCACGCCCTCAGACTGCTCCGACCTGGCCACGCCCTCAACCTGCTCCGCCCTGGCCACGACCCGCTCAGCCCTCAGATCTTCCCCCCTCCTTCCTCTGTTCTGCGCCTCCCGGGAGGGGGGAGTTCTGTCACAGTCCTCCGTCTGCACCAGTCTGTCTTGTCTTCAGCACTACACTT